ATCACCTTGGTGAAGCTAACCGAAAGATTTCTGGGCGTTTCTGATTCTTTGTTTGGTTATATAACAAATCGACAAACTCTTACGGACTACTACGTAAAAGATCTACTTGGTGATCTACTGATGTTCGTGAAAGTTTTGAATTTTCTTCGTAATAGGGCAGCAATAGCATACGCATAACTTAAACCCGGTCCACAGTAAAATCAATTGCAATGGCTGGTAAAATTTAACATCCCGACATATAAATAAGATTTCATCGTTGAGAATTACTTGAGATATATATGGAATTGATGAGTATCAAAGGGAAAGAAAACAAATTCAGAATGCGTCTCTTATATTTTTGATTTCGTTCTCTAGCTCCCTAAATTTGCTGAATAATCAAGATCGAGATGTTGTGTTTGTGATGACAGTGACAGTGACAAAAGTAGATATAAGCTCGATTCAGTTTTCCGAAAGTAAAGATCTTCAGGTCGACGTATCTCTCATGAAAACCGTGACTGTTTCTAACTTTCAATGGATCGATCATCAAAGATATAAAACATCACATGAAAGTGGTGAGTCCCGTGGACATATGCTTTGTTTTTCCTGTCTTTGGTAAAAGCATGTTTGTAATAGAGAAATCTTATGCTGATGTATCAAAATTTCACCAAAAAGACAAAATTAGTATGTTTCTCATAGTACATTAGCATTGCCTAACATTTAAATTTTGTATTAAAAAAAGGTACTAATTTGTTTCGTAAAATTTAAAATTTGTACAAATGCATTACTCCTTGAATCTCCAAATCCCCCTACCCCTCCCCCAGCACCGCCACCACACCCCAATCTGTGAAGTGGAGTTTCTCCATATTCTCATTAGCTAGTTTCTCGTAATTTTTACTTTCTCAAACAAAACCTTAAATAATTAAATAAAAGTCTAATATATATCAACCAAACACCTCTTGGAGACCAAGGTGGCTATATAGGATGGCTTCATGCATCCAACCAAATGTCCCCTTGCATACATGCATCTACTCCAGCTACTAGCTTAATTATCCAGCAGTGAACTAGCTAGCAATGCAGTGGCAATGGCCATCTTGACAAATTCAGGCGATCAAAATGACGGCACATGTAATTGCTCCCTGCTTTCGAAGAGATTAAACTACACACATCACATGCACGCTTCCAATAATGCAATCCCCAGGCGATTGGGACAATCAAATACATGAGCAATCATGCATTCATATGAATGGTAAGTCCAGCGCAATTATTGGCTACCATGGTGGCGTGTCCTCCTATAATTTGTCTTATCTGTAGATTTATGTTCCATCTGTCGACTTGGATCGATCTATAGCTTCTTTTAAAATATATGAAAAAATTGTAATTCAGAATTTATATCACAATATAAGTGTTTCTAGAATCTAGACAGTAATTTCGATGTACGGAAATCCATATATTTTAAGCGAATCAAGTCCTATGGAATCTAAGCAAATTCAAAATTCATAATTTGATCACTAATTATGATGGCTGAAAATAATATTTTCCTTAATATTAATATATTTATTTAGTAAACAACTTAGAAATGGCTATATATTTTTGGAATAGAGGAAGTAGTACTAATCTATATATCTATATATTTTGGTATATTTTGATAAATAAACATAAAGGTTTGATTATATTAATTAATAGATCATGCTGAGTTGAATCGCGTCTTATGAAGAACGTATATGCTAATAAAGTTCTCTTGGAAAAGAAAAGAAAACGAGACATATATAAAATCTCTTTTTTGCATTTAAGCAAAACACAGCTTTTGAATATGTTTAAGCTCAGGGATAAACTCGACTTTAATACTTCATGATCACTTGAGACCGGCCCCCTTTCAGAAAGACGAAACCAAGACGATTTATTTGAGTGCAACATATCAAGATCAGGCATATCAATTGTACACGACCAATTGGCTGCATTATTGCAGATCAATGTCGCGACAATAATGTACAATTGTATTTAACCTCATCATCATGTATTATATATTCATGTACATGTAGAGCTACATTATACCTGATTAATTGATCAACGCGTATTAATTCCTCCCTGTAACTATTGTACTTCTAAATCTTGCTCTTTTTCTCTTTTGTGCTAATGGAGAATACATATACATACATACATACATACATACATACATACATACATACATACATACATACATACATACATACATACATATATATATATATATATACATACATATATAGACTTCCCCCTCCTTACCAAGGCCCAAAACCCACCTCCCACCTCGGTCAAAGGCCCCTCCCACCGGTCAAACCCGCCTACTAACTCCCCCCACCACCCACCTCTTCTCAGCTCTCGTCCCAGGATGGTGCAGTAACACGACGACCACTGTGCAGTAACATTGTGTCTTACGTGCAGTAACAAAGTTAAAATATAGTTAAAATATAGTCATGACGGATCTACTTTTGATAAGCTCTTTTTTTCTAGCATCATGGTGCAAACGGTTTTAAAAAAATCTTACATCACTTGGGAGATATTGTTCTTCAAAGCTTGACTTTTTTGCAATTTGTCTCTCCACAAGTAGTAATACTATACTATTACTTGTTACTACTTGTCTATTGTACGTTACTACAATCACATCATGATGTTACTACACTGCGTTTTACTATATTTTTTGGGTAGTGTTACTGTATAAACACATGGTAACGTGTACCTTCCGTGCAGTAACACTTTTACTTTTGTGCAGCAACAAGTATATGGTTAGCATCTGAGACTTTTAACCTATATATTTTTGTTTCAATTCCTAATTTACTGTAATTCACCACAATATTACTGTCACATCTTACACATGCAGTAACGCTATATTGGAGGGAGGAGACCAATTTTCTTGAGAAGAGGGAGAAAGATCGGTTCTTGAGGAGGGGAATACGTAGATGCATCTTGAAGTTTAATCCTCCATATGCAGTAACACTATAACATCATGGTGGAAACGGTTTTAAAAAATAATACATATCTTGTGAGATATTGCTTTTCAAAGATTGACATTTTGAACTTTAGCCCTCCACATGCAGTAACAGAATGTGTAATTTACAGTAACAGGGGTATATACATGTAGTAACATGGTTTTACCAAATGTATAAAATTGTTCAAAACACTCCTACATCAATCAGACATCGCTCAAAGCCACCTACAGACTTTACCTATGGCCCACCTATTTGATCTTCATCTCGTAAAAATGACATAGTAACACTGCATTTATCATGCAGTAACATAGCTACTTGGAAGTGGTAACATGCACCTATTATGTAGTAACACTTCTACTTTTGTGTAGTAACAAGTATACGGTTAGCATGTGAGGCTTTAACTTATATATTTTTTGTTTCAATTCCTAGTTTATGTAGTAATACTATTCAAGAAATGCAAGACACTTTGTTACTGCAAAGCTTATTGTCTTTACTAAACTCTTGTAGTAACATTGTGATAGAACTGTAGTAACGTACAGTAGTAACAAGTAATGCTATTGTATTACTACTTGTGGAGAGTCAAATTTCAAAAAGAAAAGCTTTTAAGAACAATATCTCTGATGTCATGTATGGTTTTTTAAAATTGTTTGCACCATGATGCTAGAAAAAAAAGCTTATCAAAAGTAGATCCATCATGTCTATATTTCAACTATATTTGAGCGTTGTTACTGCACGTAAAACACAGTGTTACTACACGGTGACCGTCGTGTTACTACACAGCTTCGCGAGACGAGAGCTGAGAAGAGGTGGGTGGTGAGGGAAGTTAGTAGGAGGGTTTGACTGAGTTTTGACCGGCGGGAGGGGGTTTTGACCAGCGTTTGACCGAGGTGGGAGGTGGTTTTTGGGCCTTGGAAAGGAGGGGGAGGTAGGTGTGGCCTTTGAGAGGGAGGGGGTATAGAATAGTATTTATATATATATATATATATAGAGAGAGAGAGAGAGATCTAAAACGTTTCAATCAAGGTAGCTGCATTCAACACCTAAATTGTGACACAAGTTGAATTTTAGCAAGAATTCTAGAACCACCTACAAACTCCATCGAACATACTTGATGAGTTGAGGGTTTCCCTGTAATAATAACTTTGTATTATTATATATTTTCATAAAATTATGTATTGTTAATTTCTTCTCCCACCAGTACGTGCGTAAAAAATTTATTGCTAGCTAATCATTAGCCCCATTTGCAATGATAGAATTCTAAAGGGGGAAAAATCATTCGATTTAAATAATAGAGAATTACCGATGTCATAGTTGTCCAAAACACGATTTTTCTTCCTACGTACGTGAAAGTAACTTAGTCACGAAGAATTTGAGAAAAATAATTTACACCGACGCAATCGCTTGCTCATCGACGACAACCTACAAGTAACAATATAACAAATAGTGAGGAAAGGAAAAATATAAAGCAGCATTCAATCAGTCAACACAGGTGTTCTAGCCATATATATGCAACCCATCAACATGGGGAATGCAACAATATATATAGCAGCCTAGCTAGTCTTCAAAATGATGAAGCCCACAGAAAATGCACACAAGCAAACAAACGATATCTCAAAATATAAAATCACCAGATATAAGACAGACGCTCCCATACCTGAATTTTTGTTTCTTGCAAGAAATCAATGCATGATATAACTGTAACACATCAAGTTGTCTGACCATATCATATATCATCATGCATGCACAGCCTAATTAAATCTTACACACAAAGAAACCAAAATTGGAGAAATCAAATTCCTCCTCTCCCAGGGGCAAAATAGGAAGAGAGATATTTCTTTTTGCAAGAAGAAGAAACAGTTACAAAATCTCATGGAAACTTACACCTGTCCCTTGGCCATTTTGATCACCATGTGATGTGAGTCCCCCCACTTACATTAATCTCATGCTAAAAAACAAACAGATAAATAAATAATTGCCATTGCCATGCTGCCACGTGTCATGGGACACGTCACCTCCTCTTCCTCTCCCGCGAGTATATAAACCCCTCGCTCCCCTCTCCTTCCTCCCGCCATCTATCTCCCTCTCTTTTGAGGAGGGCACCGCCATTTAGTTAATTAGTAGTTGTTAATTATCTTCACTAACCTTAATTACCCTCACGCAAAGCACTCTCTAATCCTCCTCGGCGCTCGCATAATCTTGTATCCCTCATCTCAGATTATCATCACCTCGCCGTGTTAGAAAAAAGGTACTATGTTTGGTTGATTTGTAATAATTTTCTTGGTTGGTGGTTTGGTTGATTTCTTGATTAGTGTGATGCTAATTGTTTTCGTTTGAAGGGAGTAAGTTCGTTTTATCGTCGGATTTGGTGAGAGTTCGCCGGAGTAGAAGAAGATGACGGTGACGCCGCAGATCACGGTGAGCGACGGGAGGCTGGCGGTGCGGGGGCGGACGGTGCTGACCGGCGTGCCGGAGAACGTGACGGCGGCGCACGCGTCCGGCGCCGGGCTCGTCGACGGCGCCTTCGTCGGCGCCGACGCCGGCGAGGCCAAGAGCCACCACGTCTTCACCTTCGGCACGCTCCGGTGAGCAATCTCACAGAATTAATTTCCCAAGATTTCTACAAATTTGTCTTCGCTGCATTTTTGAATTCACAGAATTTTAAAGAGTTTTTGGCATCTGAAATTTTGCAGGGAATGCCGGTTCATGTGCCTGTTCAGGTTCAAGCTGTGGTGGATGACGCAGAGGATGGGCTCCTCCGGCCGCGACGTCCCGCTCGAGACCCAGTTCATGCTCATCGAGGTCCCCGCCACCGCCGCCGGCGACGGCCACGACGGCGGCGGCGACGGCGAGCCGGTGTTCGTGGTGATGCTGCCGCTGCTGGAGGGGAAGTTCCGCGCGGCGCTGCAGGGAAACGACGACGACGAGCTCCAGATATGCATCGAGAGCGGTAAGTAGGTCTTAGGATACAAATTTGGATGAAATTTGTGTTTGAAAATTAAATTTAGACGAGTTTCGGTGAAATTTTCCAAAACTTTGGATGAAATTTGTAGTGATTTGGACGACGTTTTTGGGGCAGGGGATAAGGCGGTGCAGACAGAGCAGGGCGTGAACATGGTGTACATCCACGCTGGGACCAACCCCTTCGACACGATCACCCAAGCCATCAAGTATGAATTTCTCTCCGCTGTCCCCATCACTAAAATTCCTACTCGTACTACGTTTCAAATGAAATTTACACATCTGACACGTCTATAAATTCTAATTCTAATGTTTGAAATTTGAAAATGATGCAGGGCAGTGGAGAAGCGAATGCAGACGTTCCACCACAGGGACAAGAAGAAGGTAATACTACCAATTCCTTTTGAAATACAGTTCTTTCTTCTTTTTTTTTGAAATATTGAGAACCGATTTGATCATTTTTGTTTGTTTGATGGATCGATTTTCTGTTCATGTCACAGATGCCGTCCTTCTTGGATTGGTTCGGGTGGTGCACATGGGACGCGTTCTACACCGACGTCACCGCCGACGGCGTCAAGCAGGGCCTCCGCAGCCTCGCCAATGGCGGCGCGCCGCCGCGCTTCCTCATCATCGACGACGGCTGGCAGCAGATCGGCACCGAGGACGACGACACGGACGAACACCCCGCCGTCGCCGTCCAGGAGGGCGCCCAGTTCGCCAGCCGGCTCACCGGCATCAAGGAGAACGTCAAGTTCCAGAGCAAGAACGGCGGCGCCGGCGAGGACACGCCGGGGCTGAGGATGCTGGTGGAGGAGGTGAAGGGGGAGCACGGCGTCCGGCAGGTGTACGTGTGGCACGCCATGGCCGGGTACTGGGGCGGCGTGGCGCCGGCGCCGGCGATGGAGCGGTACGAGGCGGCGCTGGCGTACCCGGTGCAGTCGCCGGGGGTGACGGCGAACCAGCCGGACATCGTCATGGACTCCCTCTCCGTGCTCGGCCTGGGCCTCGTCCACCCGCGCAAGGTGCTCGACTTCTACGACGAGCTCCACGCCTACCTGGCGTCGTGCGGCGTCGACGGCGTGAAGGTGGACGTGCAGAACATCATCGAGACGCTCGGCGCCGGCCACGGCGGCCGCGTCGCGCTCACGCGCGCCTACAACCGCGCGCTCGAGGCGTCCGTGGCGCGGAGCTTCCCGGACAACGGCTGCATCTCCTGCATGTGCCACAACACCGACATGCTCTACAGCGCGCGCCAGACCGCCGTCGTCCGCGCCTCCGACGACTTCTACCCTCGCGACCCGGCGTCCCACACCATCCACGTCGCCTCCGTCGCCTACAACACCGTCTTCCTCGGCGAGTTCATGCAGCCCGACTGGGACATGTTCCATGTAAGCATCAACCCCTTCGTGTCCGACGCCGGCGCCATTTCTTCTTCTTGCTTCTTAGGTGTTCGATGTGTGGTTTTTGCAGAGCTTGCACCCGGCGGCGGAGTACCACGGCGCGGCGAGGGCGATCGGCGGGTGTCCGATCTACGTCAGCGACAAGCCGGGGAACCACAACTTCGATCTGCTCAGGAAGCTCGTCCTCCCCGACGGCTCCGTGCTCCGGGCGCGCCTCCCCGGCCGCCCCACCCGCGACTGCCTCTTCTCCGACCCGGCGCGCGACGGCGAGAGGTAACAAACAAAGATTTCGAAATTTGTGTGAAATGGTTTCGAATTTGGGTTAAAATTTGATGGAATTTTTTGTAGTTTGCTCAAGATATGGAACCTGAACAATTGCGGCGGCGTGGTCGGGGTGTTCAACTGCCAGGGCGCCGGGTGGTGCAGGGTGGCCAAGAAGACGCGCGTGCACGACGCGGCGCCCGGGACGCTCACCGGCGCCGTGCGCGCCGACGACGTCGACGCCATCGCGCAGGTCGCCGGCGGCGACGGCGGAGGCTGGGACGGGGAGGCCGTGGTGTACGCGCACCGGGCGCGTGAGCTGGTCCGGCTGCCGCGCGGCGCCGCGCTGCCGGTGACGCTCGGGGCGCTCGAGTACGAGGTGTTCCACGTCTGCCCCGTCCGCGCCATCGCCGCGGCGCCGGGCGGCGCCGCCGTCGCGTTCGCGCCCGTCGGGCTCCTCGACATGTTCAACGCCGGCGGCGCCGTCGAGGAGTGCGCCGTCGATGCCGCAGCCGCCGTGGCGCTCAGGGTGCGCGGTTGCGGCCGGTTCGGCGCCTACTTCTCGCGGAGGCCGGCGAGGTGCGCGCTCGACGGCGCCGACGTGGGGTTCACCTACGACGGCGACACGGGGCTCGTCGCCGTCGACCTGCCGGTGCCGGAGCAGGAGATGTACAGGTGGAACCTGGAGATTCACGTCTAGGATGCTGCTGCTGCCACGTGGCGGTGCGATCTTTGCCCTCTGGTGTTCGTGGCTGAGACATTCCCAGCCGTTGGATCATTGCCATTGATGGTTTGCAGCAGAGATGGACGGACCGATGGAGAGATTGTGATGTGCCCTCTTACGACTTGCAACGCGGTAGAGGGAGTATGCTTTGCTACATCTAAAATGAAAGAAGAAAATTATAGTATGCTTTTGTCATGTTATGGCTTGTAAAATGCAATAATATGATGTAATGCTATGGTTTATGTATTATTATTAGCTGATAAATAAAGGATGGTGCTCCTTAAAAATATATTTGCTTACTCGCCTGGGTACTTCGAGGTCTTGAAGCCCTCCAAATGATGGGCTCCTTTGGAACGGGGATTTCAAAAACACATGAAAAAACATAATGTAGGAATTTCATGCCATGGCAAATCCTATAGGAAATGAATCCTTAGGTTTTTACCAAAATTATTGTTTGGTATCAACATAGAAAAAGAATATAGAAATTGTGAGTCACAAGGAAGAGAAGACATGAGGTCTAGCTTCATGTTAGTTTTCCTCCCAAATTCCTGTAAAATGAGCTTATAGGAATTTCAAAGGATTTTATAGGAGGCATTCCTTTGTTCCAAAGGATCATGTAGTAATATTTTCTAATGGATTGCGACCCTCCATATTCCTACACTTCTCATTTGTTCCAAAGGAACCCGGACAGTTTTGTGTTTCTGCGGTGACAACAGGGGGTTGCAATCTCGTTTTAAAGTTGAAATGACCATCGACATAACAAATTTCACGAGATTCGATGAATTTCGACTTCACAAAGTGGGTACCAAGGAACCACACAAGGATGGCAAGATCTCAGACAGTGTACACCCTGGGATAGGAGCTATTGAGAAATTTGGAAGAACAAATCTTGATAATCCTTGTGTCAACTGGCACTCAAGACAACATTTCAGTGGCAAAAGAAAATCGCATTCAAGCACACTCCCATCTGAAACAATAACCATATCTCGTCTCTGAACTTCGAAGCCCCAGGTAAAGGGACAACAGTTCACATGCGCTTCCGAACTCACCGAATTGCTTATGTTGTTATGATTCTATTGACTATGAAAGTTTCAACAGCTCTTCATCAGGCAAGATTGAAAGAAAAGGGGGATGGTTGGAAGATTCTAGCAGCAGGAGTACAATTTCTTGTTATCAATGATAGTGGTCGTCAAAGGTGCTCTAGATTGCGCTACAAAAATATGGTTCTATGAACTTGGAACCCCCAACACTGGGTTTACAGCACAATCAGTGCATGGATCTAGCACACATCAGCCTCAGGTAACTCGTGCTCTCTCATGAGTTATCTATTTGTGGTACAGGTACACAAATGAGAAGATGAAGAAGGCTCCCATCTGCAACAAAGAGGGAAATTATATAAAGAGCTAGGTCATGACTTTTACAAACATATATGTAACTTTTACAAAAATCTTAGTAATTCCAGCCAAGGAAACAGGTATACAAATGAGAATATGAAGATGCTACCATCTACAGAAGTGACAATAACTATGTCCATCTAAAATGTAAGGTCAAGAAAAACTCATGTCTATTGAAATGTATCAAGTATATCTTACTGTTGAAAACGACGCAGCATAGTACGGATATGCCGAAGTTATGAATCTTTCATACTCATTATGCCTGTAAGGGCGCACTGGAATCTGCAGGAGAGAAACAAATGGTTGAATGCAGTTTTACAAAGGTCGATAATTATCGCAAAATGCATATGCTTTGTGTGAAGTTGTAAAAAAGGAAAGCATCGTGGAACCAACCTGCTTAGAAAGAGAGAGACCAGTATATCCAAGCCTCTGGTACTCAACTTTGAACTGGAAAACTCCATAAACATCTGGAACTTTGAAGGATGTTGAAAATACACCCTGTATTGGCATGAAATTTTATTTTAACAAACAGCAAGCTAAAAACAAACATTAATGCAATACTGACTCATAGTATCTCATACCTTCTTGTCAGTCGACAGTGTCTTCAGAACATAAGGGCTCATCATGTAAAACTGAACTTGAACATCATCAGCAACATACGGCTTCCAGCTGGTCCCAGACCATTCGTAGATCTCAACAGAGTATTCCTTCAGGGAATCATTTACATTAGCATGTTTAACTTCACAGTGCTCAATTGATATAACAGGCAAAGAGTTACCAAGTCATCATTGATGCGGTACATGCCAGGCTCATTTGTCTCCCCAACCTTGTTATGCTTGACATTCACTGCCTGAAAAGTGGGACATAGCAAGGTTATGACATCATTCTTATTTATAATTTCTGTTGTAGAAACAAACATATTCAAAACAAAGAAAAATGTGATAAAGGTAACATATAACCTTTAGATGGCCCCTCTCATGGAAGACCCATTTGCTTGTTTCTGTCACAAATTGTTCATTTCCAGCTTTCTCATGCCTGCACCAATATATGACAAATATATAAAGTTAATATCATTTCCATTTGATTGAGGATATCATACAACCATTTTTAACATACAAAGCATAATATGACAAACATTAATACAGTGACAAAAGTTACAATATGCTTTCAGTTTCAGGTATGTCTATTCAGAAATATGCAGCACTAAGATCTGCATATATTGAGCAATCAACCATCTCAAATACGGTAAGCACATATTTGCAAACTGTGTGCAATCTAAAAACATTAATAACTTGATGTTCAAGTAATAATGTGACAGGTCTCTTTTCTAATATAATCAGATCAGCCAATGTTTGCCTACACGTGTACATAGTCCATTCATTTGTCAAGAAAAGAATCCGCAAAATCTATACCAGAGGGAGCACGACTGCACGATTACTCCAGGCTTGACCAATCAGTCGTCTCAAATATGTTTTTTAAGTATGTCTATTCAGTTATAAGCACCACAAGTGTTTGAAAATCTAATCTCCAAAAGTTTCAAAAGTAATTAAGCTCACCTTATCTTGCTACCGGCCTTCTGAACACCAGATTTTAGGAACCTATTTTAAAAGACACTGAATAAGCAATCTTGTAAAATCAGAGGAAGCAACTTCGATTTAGCATACCTGTTGCTAAACAGATCGAGTGATCCAGATATCAAGACCCGAGCATTGTTTCTTGCCTGCAAAGGGACATATTAGGCTTCTTAAATTCATCGGAAAGCTACATACTGGTGATCACATAAAACTGATGAGATACAAATCTTTGCAGACCATTGGTCTAGCAGTCAATACTCAACAATGAACAACGGAATGATTACTGGCCAAGAAAACTGTTTCGCTTGTCCTTTCACTTTTAAGGAAATAAAGTAAGCAAAACCCATAAGCATCGACACCAGGTGGCTAACACTAATGTAAACTAAATTATTTGTTGGCCATAAAAGGAAGGGTTGTAGACTTATGCAGAACTTTACAGGAAACCATTTAACTGAAATGGATTGATCCATAAATATGGTTTAGTGTCTTATGTTAATATTTTGTCAAGGATAGAAGCACTAAACCAAATCTGAGCAACAAATTCCATAGCATCAAGCACATGAGACAAGCATAAATCCTGTACCTGCATAACAGAAACCAGTGATATAGCCGACCCTGTGAGAGATGGAGGGGAAGCCAACTTAGACTTTGGGTTTGCTGAGTATGCTGACGGAGAGGCGGATAAGACTTTCAGGACCTACATATATTTAAAGAAGGATAAATGAAAGATTATAGTTAAAACTTCCTATCCATAGTAACAAAATAGACTAATAGAGGCATGCAATTTTTTGGTAACAAAATAGAAATTAAATGACTTACCAAGCTGTTAGATGGATTAACCGCATGTCCAATTCCCCGAAATAATACAGGGGCCTAGTAAACAGGGAGAGTTATTAAAAGAAAGCACTACAAGTACACATTGTAAACAAAAAACAGAAAAGGTACCCACACATTGTGTCATAGGACAGCAGTGGAAAATGTGGTAGAAAGCTTTTTGAATTTAATTTGACAGGCACTCGTGGGCACAATGGACAGCAATGAAGGACCAAAATTGTTCCCATGACAGCCAAAATTCTACTGACTGCAAATACTGTAAATATTCTTGCTACTGAATAAATCCAAAACAGTACTCAGTCCATGACTCTCATGCTCATTATTCAAATATATCAATGGTGATCAGGATTTAGTCTCAACTCAGCTCCAACTACAGTTTATTACAAGAAAGTAATAAATATATAAAAAATTAAAGAGCAGAACGGTTGAAAGACATGAGTCTTTTTTGAAGTATTAGTACCAACCTCAATTTTCTTTGACCCCAGTATCACATCTGACTGGATGAGGTCATCACCAGCAATCAAAGTATGATCACCTTCAGCATCAGTGGCAGCATAATTAATGTGATCAATAACCATTGCCTCTGGATCCTGGCACCATCCATAAACACATGAGACTGAGGGAAACAGAGACAACGATTGATCAAATTAACAAGCTTTAGAACCACAGGTATATCTTACCTCATCAAAATCAACCCCACACTCTGTTGCAATGCCTCGGATAAGATCAGAGGCCGAAGAGTCTGCTGCCAGGATCATATCATGACCAGCATCGATGAATTCCAGAATTGAATTTTGGTCCACTGATCCTCCAAAACCTGCCAGTGAAAAGATACAAACATTAAGACTTCGCAGGACTGAGGCTAAACCAAAACTGAAGCATCACGAGCAGAGAGCAAAGCATTTGCAACTTAACCCACAGATTTAACCAGCCACAAAGGAGCAAAAATCAATTACTCTGTAGCACAGCAGAATTGAAACGAACTTGACTGTTACAACCAGAGCAATCAAATCAGAACACAAGTAAATAGCCCTTGCAGTGGTTGATACTGTTACAATCTCATTTTTCCACTAGAGCTAAACAACTAAGCATAACCTCTACAGAACCTTACTACCTAAATCCTTCCAGTTGGCGTAGAATTCAACACCCCAAAACCCAATGGATGGATTGAGCTACCCATCAGAGATCACAGAATTCCACTACTCCCAAAACACAGATCGGATCAGACGAACGACCTCTCTACTCTACGGATCTAACGCAAAAACCAACCCATAGCCACAGATCGGATCAAGCCCCATCCATCCACGAACTGAGTCACTGGATCTCATGAGCAGGGGGGGGATAATGAGGGAGAGAGCGTGGGGGAAAATTAATTACGCGGGGTGGAGGGGGCGAAGAGGACGAGGCCGTCGTAGAGGTACTGGCCGTAGCGGTGGAGTGAGAGCTTGGGGTCGTCGGCGAGGCGGAAGTCGAGATCGAACCCTCGCCCCTGGAGCGACGCGAAGAAGGCCGAGTGCGACGACCGCACCGCCAGGTCGTCCACGAGCACCAGCACCCGCCTCCCCCGCGGTCCCCCCTCGTCCGCCGCCGCGGCGGTGACGACGAGGAGGGCGAGGGCGACGGCGAGGGCGAGGTGGTGGTGGCGCGGCGCCGCCATTGCTGCGAGATCTCGCGGCGTGGGGAGGTTTTGTTTCGCGTGGGGTTTGGGAGAGGAGGCGACGACGACGAGGAGGACTTGAGGACGCTTGGAGGGGGGAGAGGGAGAGATCTGGGCCGTCCGATCGTGCGATCCGACGGCTTCCAATGGACTGGATCGAAGTGGCCGTGTGCAGTGTGGCTGTCTGGTCTAGGTGGTGATTGACAATCCGGCCCCACCGTCAGTGGTTGTTTTTGTTTGCATTTTCATCCTGAAGGTTTAAGGGTCTGTTCAGATTATGTCAAAATGAACATTTTCAAAATTTTGGTAAATTAGTAACATTGTCAAATTTTAGTAGAATGTGCTCGATTCAATATTATCAAAATTCCATAGACATTACCAAAATTTGGTAACAAACTAAATATAATTACATAGTTGACGATTTTACCAAATAATGGCATGGTTTGAAATAGTATCGATCTGAACAAGCCCTAAATCATCGTTCTTTTTGTTTTTTTATTATAATCTCGTGTGATTATTTATTGGATATTTTGCTTAAGCTCTTTCTTAGTACGTAGGATAAGACAATCTATCATGCCGTGAAATTCCAAATTGGAATTTGATAGTCACTTCTTACAGTGGAAAAATAGAGAGGATATTTTGCTGAATTTGAAATCAAATGATGAAATGTGAAAAAAGAGAAAGCCATCGTTAGAAGTTGTTTTTGTTTTCATTTTCATGAGATTAATTCATCCATTGTTCTTTTGATTTTTTTTATTAACTCGCGTGATTGTTTATTAGATATTTTGCTTAAGCTTTTAAATTTTGTTTCTTTGTACAAGAGAATCTATCATGCCAAGAAATTCCAAATTGAAATTTGATAGCAGTTTCGCGAAAACCGATTGGAATAGTAAGCCGGGGTTTAAACCAATAAAACCATTATAGATTCTTATGACTATTTCTGTACAGTATTTTTACAAAGGGAGGCATGTAGGTACCGTATCATATGAAGATAGGCTTAAGCTGTAGAACACCATATGATTTCCAATTCAACGTCAACTATTAGGGTCAGCTCAGCACCCAGAGCAATCTCAAAAAATTGTATTCTGAATAATGAGCATAATATCCAAACTGAATCTGTTGACAGTGGAATTTTCCAGTTAATCCGTTACAAAACTAGGAATTCGGTATTACTAACATAAATCACATCAGCATGGATTACACCATCTACTCTCTCTTTGCCTACCAAAGAACAAGTGGTCATGATAGCTGCAATTGCCTGCAAACAGTTACAGCAAAAACACCACTTTCTCTCCACATGGGTAATCACCAGGTCAAACTATCCACCTGAAGATGAATGCTTCATGTTGTAGCCTGAAGAAGCCCGAACCTGAATTTTCTTTGAGCTGCCAGACCAGAGCTTTAGTCGGAGCACAAGCGGTTTCTTCATACCAGCTCCTGATCCTTGAAGCTCGACAGTTTCGCATTCTCCCGGTCACGCTTGAACACAAGGTACAAGGGGCTGTAGAACAGGACGCAGACGCCGAAAGGAACAATCATCATTGTCAGAAGTCCCCTGGAGAGCGCATACGCTCCTTCTGCTGACCCGTTCGCAAGGTTCACAGTCTTGCTGTCATAGCCATATATCTTCTCGGTGACCAAGCCGACAGCGGGAGCTGCCAGCGAGGCGAATGAGCCCTCGAATGCACGGTCGAAGGCGTAGATCATGGTCCGGTGCTTGGGAGGGACTACCTCCGCAAACATGGGGTTGTTTGCAGAGGTGGCGCACCAGCTTATGGTGATGCCCATGAAGAAGAGGGTGACGGCGTAGGCGGACCAGTAATCAACCGACTGCGGGATGACCGTCAGGAGGATCCACGAGAAAGGGATGCCCATGAAGGCACTGAACTGAGCACACATGACACGTGCAGAATCTGGAAAGTGTCGCGAGAGGCGATCTGCTATCACCCCTCCAAGGAAAGCTCCAGTTGCGCACCCAATGGCAAACAGGCTATTCAATGCCGCCGAGCTGTTATTGTCAAAACCTAAGAGGATTTAAACATCTTGACGTCAAATTGAGGGCACTGTAATCATTTGAGTGTTCAAAATAATAATCAATTTGTCATCATACCGATGAGTTCAAACCACATTGTGAAGAAAACTATGGCAGTCCATGGCAATGATCCAATTATTCCTTGCAGGACGATGATCTGAAACGTCCGCACCTTCATTACAGATCTTGTTGCTACCAAAGAATCCCTCCATATAGAAGGAGGTGGAAGAACATCTTTGCTGGCCAAATGTAACCTGGGTGATGAAATACCAATTTATGCTGTCATACTGAAGTGCATATAGTATTGTTCACAGTTACCAGCTGCAGGTTTTAATTCTAATATTGTGCAGTAATTAGTTCAGGGATAAATCCATTGCACGCTTACCCAAAGCACAACGAATGCAAATTTACAATTGATGAGCTACGCACAACGAATGCAAATTTACAAATTTACAATGCAATCTACCCAAAGCAGACCATGAATCTAGAAAGGAAAAGCGATGTAAAATTCCAATAGAATCTGATCCATTGGATAAAAAACATAGGATGGCCCATTTATCCTAGTGTATCATAAAAAGAAATCATATTGTTAAGCTCATCTACAAAATAACCCTGTTCTGAAATGAAATTCGAAGCAGATTAAAATCACGCAAACAAAGAAAGCGTTATAATGATTTCATATCCTATATGACAAAATCATAATGATATGGAGATACTACTTGAGATGATTTCCATGTTACTGTATTGAACTCCAAAAGATCTGTTGAAGAATTTTATTCTTAAACCCTTTTTGTAAACCGGACTTGAGTGGTACTTTTTATCAATGATGTAACACAAGAAGATGATACGGAACGAATTAAATAACATAGATAAAAGTACCTCTCATAGTCATCGTCGTCAAGAAGATGATTACCAGGGATTTTTCTTGGGTCAGTCGCATATAAGTACACAAGAATGCCAATTATCAAACTGACGAGAGCAACCATAATAAATGCAACACGCCATCCTGCCAAACCCCAATAGTCATTTCCAGCCATGATTGTGGCTAGAATGCTACCACCTATACCACCTACTGCACCGATGAGGCTTAGTAAACCAAACCCTGCGCCACGTGTACCATCTTTGTAGCTGTCAGCGATGAACGACTGAAGTGCCGGTATTACAATAGCAAGTCCAAGGCCATTTACAGCTCTCCAGAATGCAACCTGCCGGAAATGCTGGCTAACTCCAACAGCCCCTGTTGATAAGGCCCAGAAGACAGTCCCTATTGCAAGCACTGTTGGGCGATCATAGTGAAGGGAGAGGATACCTGCCAAGGGAGATGCTATCGACTTCAGAAAGTTCATTAGAAATGTAAGGTATCCCAGATCAGCAGGACCAGCATTGAACGCTGCACTGACTTCCTTGTAAACTGCCGGAAGGAGATTCTCATCGGCACGCTCCATAATGGAAGCCAGATTGATGAGGATGAGAGATACAGAGAAACCAAAAATATTCTTTGCTCTGCAAGAAGGGAAAGACTAGAAACGGTTAATTCTATATTACGCAAGGTAAGTTTCCCTACAGTAGAAAATGTAATTGTGTGCCTCAATTTTCTCAACCTTCATTCGAACCATCTAATTTCCAACTGGATACAGCACAAGCATTGGAATGACATAGCCATGAGTCCATGACATTTGCATTTTGCAGTTTGAACTTTGAACTACAGATAGAATTTTGAAATTTAAGCTGCACAAACCTGATGTCTCTTGACATGAACCTAGAACATGGCACTAGAATTGAAGAGATTCAACAGAAATGGAGCTACTTTGCTGAGAACACGATGGTGGTCTGGCTTTTTTCCAAATGAGCAAGACATAGAAAAGTCCGACAGATCTAGCTCAAATATATCAAATTGTGTTTTTTTTTATAAAGGAAGCTTTTATTAATCTCAGACGATTACATCCAATTGTGTACAGAATTGCTTGTTAAGTTCATTTTACATGATATGGTTCCACATGTAACAACTTGTCAGAACCGTGAAGCAATCTTCTGTAAGATGGAATTAAGTCTTGTTTGTAACGGTGGAACCTAACAATGGAAAACCAGAACTTAAGAAGAAATCTGCTCCCATATTTTTTTCCATTCGAATGAAAGTGGGTATCCACTCAACACCCACCATATGCCACATAACCTAAGACCAAACACCATCTGAAGTGCGCGGCATATCCTCAACACCTTTTCTCTATCCAAATTGCGCCAGCAACTAGCTAGAGCTTGCCTTTTTTTTCATTGCCCACTAGCTGAGAAAAAGGTGAACGATAGTGGGGTGAATGTCAATGCCAAGTCCACTTGCAGTGGTACTTCATGCTGGCATCACCATGTTCCATGCCTACCGGTCAACGAAACACTGAAGCTTCTTCCAAGATCTTCCTGTGCCTTTTCCTCTCAGAAAAGATAAGGTGAAAAAGATTAAACTTGGTCACATCCATTCTTGTTCTTGGTTACCAATTCCTACTGCAGTCTAGCCACCGACGGCATTGCCCATACATGAAGCCATTAGCCATGGATCTGAATCAAAATTCTCACTAATCTTATCCTACTTGACCCGATATAAAAGACTAAAAGACGAAGCTTTGCTGCGATGCTTGCCGATGTAAGCACATGGCATATCACCCAAAAAGCATTTCTTGAGCTTCTTGTGCTCGATCTGGTACCAAATACCCATATATAACATCGAGAATCCTCGTTTGAGATACCAAATAGCCCGTATGTCTAAGAAATGCCAAAAAAAAACTAAAAAGAAAGAAAACAAAAGCCAAGCTATAAACAAATCCTTCTCATTTCCCATTTCTTGTTTTATCTGAATCAAAGCATCACCAAGATTCCACCACACCCCAGCTTCACGGAGCATTGCTCTCCCAACAAATTGGGGAAAAAAAAGAGGAGCATTGCATGGAGCATGCTGCACAAGAACTGCTTAAATGGACAAGAAATCCACAGCCACTGGAAGCAAGAATCATCAGGGGGGAGCTAACGGAGAAAGTAATGAGCATATGCACCTTGTGGTTGAAGACGGGGTGAGCGGGGAGCTGGGGGCGGAGCGTGCCCTGTGCCTCATAGCCATCGATTCGGCCGGAGCAGCGCCCCCTCCTTCCTCCTTGGGTGCTTGGCGCTTGCTCGCTCGGTCGATGCGCTGATCTGAGATGAATCGAGCTGAGCTGAGCAGAGAGAGAGAGAGAGGGGGGTGGAGAAGACGACGCAGGATAGCAGGAAGGAAGGACAGCACGAGCACGAGGTGACGGAGTGATGAGCTGAAAAGTGAGCGCATTGAAGATTTGGCCTTATTAAATCCATCTTTTTCTTTAAACACGCAAGTACACAGCTCGTACATGGCTTTTATTAGTTCAAACCACTTTTCTCCTCCTGAAATTAAGGGGAACGAATAAGGAGTTTTCAGGAATCTAGTTTAATTTTCTTCGCTAAGAGCAGGTACGATAACCTGGCAATAGCCATTACCGTAGGATTTTTAAATGACGTAGAAGATAAGAAGAGAGAGGAGAGGAGAGAGGGAACCAGCGGACGACTAATTTGTCGCTGGGCTGCTCGCGCTATCCGAGACTATGGGCCCGTCGTCCATAGATGGAGGAGCACCCCGCTCCTCCGGTTTCCGCCATGGCCGCTTCTTTTGCCAGTGTTCGCCGGACCGACGCTTTCGTCCATCGCGGTCATCTCCCTCACCCAGCCCAGTCGTCGCGTCTCCTATGTATGCCAGACGACCTCCCCGTCCACCCCCACAGTCGGCGTCGCTTGTGTCTGTTGAATATATCATTGCTCCCATCCACCACGGTCGGTAGCTTCTGCATCCGCCCCGACCTCCATCAGCTCTCGTCCATCCAAGCCTCCGACAGTGTCCTTCGGGTCGCCACCTCGAGAAACCTATTAATGAGCCTAGGCCTGTTGTAAGTCCAATTAGATTTTAATAAATTCAACCCAATTCATCTATATTGAATTAAAAATTGAATGGGCCATACATATTCAAAGGCCCAATAGGCCCAAACATTACAACAAAAATGCATATGGGCCATGCACATTCGAGAAGCCCATATATCAAACAAATTTAGCCCAGTTAAAATCCAATACAAAACCCAATTAATATCCATACATCTGATAGCGCAATACATGTTTACTCAGTACATGACCATATCCTATAATAGCAAAATAAGCAACCACAAGTCACTAACGAAAATAAATTGTCACTCGCCAAAACAGAAGTCACATGGCCAAATAGCCATTTACATTCGCTGACCAAACCAAGTCACGTGTCGAAATGACACCAATCAAAAGACAGCCATCTCCATCATGAATCAGCAAGTCGACATGAAGAGGATAGAGAAACCTGCATTGCATGATAAGTAGAAGAAATAATAGTAAATAAAACTTGTTACATATTGAGCGCAAATCAAACATGGTGCAAACAAGAGTCTACACAAGAAGTATCCTTACTCTTTGCACCTGGTTAGTTAAGAATGGAAGTTAACACCTCCAAGGCTCTCCAACACTTGTTTATCCTCAAGATAAAATATGTTCACCTATATAATTCACCTAATAGCACAGAAAACAAACGGCAAAACTCACTTCTAAGTAAATGTGTTTGCAGCTAGCTCATTTGACATACCTTTGAGAGTTTGCATGTGTGCAGCTTTTTCTTTGCAGAATTTATCATGTGTTGCTTGAAACTTGGTGTACTCGTTCTTCAGTAAACCTTCACACTACATCAAATACAAATGAAGCTGACATTAGCAAAAACTAAGAGGGGATTGTTACCAGATGAGCATCACTGCATTGGATACAGGTCAGTAACCTCCTTTGAAGTCTTTGATAGAACTTTCAGATAATTTTGCCTGCTAATGCAAATAAAAAACAGTTGTCAGAGTTCATAGTATATTTGAATGATGCACAGTAAACATTTCCAAGAATTAGCTTCATATTCGTGTTATCGGAATGAGTCAAAAACCACTTTAAATCTCACCACAGATGTACAACAAAAAGGAACTGCACTCATACAAGTAGAAGTTCACAGGCAAGTGAAATGAATTGGTCCTTCACCTTTCTTTCTCAAACTTGCCCTTGGCATCCTGTACGATAGTCTGAATTTCTGTTGCAACACTGAAAATTGAGCAGAACAGTTAGTCATGTAATCTAATAATGCACGTGGTAGATAACTTCAGAAACAGGCCACATTGATACACCACATTAATATTGTCATGTGGATATGAAAACCATGTTAGATGAAGCTATTTTTCCATATCACTGGTCTCAACTCATTTTCCATGCTTCGGGAGTGATTCAATTAGCGCACTCTATATGCCTCACGTCTGCTACCTTGAGTACAGCCTACGGGAGATCCAAGACTTGCACAGACTTCTACAGTCTAAAATCAGATTCAGGAGATAAGTAACATAAGCAGTTGGCGCACTTGCACATCCTACTGTATCACTGGTTCATAAAAGATAGACCTAAACAGTATCTGTTCACAATTCCACAGAAATTAAAGTGACGTGGACCAACTACTGATGGTCAACACAACAGAACTCATAACATATCATTGGTGTATAGAAACTTGAGCACAATTCTGCAGAAATTAAGCAAGTGTGGATCACTGATGTTCTGTGTGTACTAGCTTGTGTATCCTGGGACTGGTACATGTTGCACAGGTACAGTACTGTGGCCGCCGGACCCACGAGGTTTGGGGGCGCCACATAGGGTCATATATGTATCGAGGAAGAGCTACGTCGAAGAAGAGCTACGCCTCCTGCGCCGTCCCTTGTGTCTTCTCCTATGCCCCTTAGGTGTAGATCTCTTGTCATACTTAGCATCCACAAGTCTCTTGCCAACTAATCTTCCATCAAATTCAAACGATGTCTCAATGTCGGATATAGTGATGAATTCTTCCCGCCCCCGCTGCTCCTTACTCGGGTGGTCACTCCCCACCACCTTTTCTTGTCCCTGCTGCTGGTCACGCTGACGGCTCCTCTGCTGGTCACACTCCACACTCCTATGCTGGTCACGCTTCACACTCCTATGCCGGTCACGCTGGTGGCTCCTCTCCTGGTCACGCTCCACACTCCCCTCCTGGTCACGCTGGTGGCTCCTCTCCTGGTCACGCTCCACACTCCTCTCCTGGTCATGCTGGTGGCTCCTCTCCTGGTCACGCTGGTGGCTCCTCTGCTGGCCATGCCCAACCCTCCTACGCTTCTCCCCCCTCTCCTCGCACCAGTGCTGCTCACGGTCATCCACCTTCACCTTCTGATCGTTCCCAACCCTCCTGCGCTTCTCCCCCCTCGGGTGCCGCTCACCGTCATTCGCATTCATATCCTTCACAAAAATATTAATGTCGTCGTCGGCCTCCATAATCTCAAAAGCAACGACGGATGCCAAGGCGGATTTCTCCCTGAAAAAAAAACATATTAGAAACCAAGCATAGCAATCATAGGTAACATGTGCACCTAGCAAAACAGGAGAGTGTTGATAACTCAAATACTGAGGCCGTGACAACAAATAAAATGCATAATATGCATAACACTATCACCTCATGTCTGTATGCAAATGTTGACAGTGAGAATTGAAGACAGGAGGTGATGTTTTGCAGAATTCAATTGATGGTGCACCTTTAAAATCCAATCAATGGAGTGGATGAACAATTGACAGGAGTGACAAACTACCATAGTAAACAAATAAGCTAGGGACAGTACAGAGTACATTGTCATGGTTCAAGCAAAAATAAAAGCAAGTAGATATCTATACTCCTTTTAATAGGGAGTAGTGGCGGTGGTGAGAGGTGAATCTGCCACCACCCCCACCACCAACTCCCTACTTTTTTTTGGAATGAAAAAGAAGGGACCCTGCATGTCAACACTCCTACCACCGACTTCCTACTTTTTGTGGTAAGAAAAAATAGTGGGTTAATGATAAATTTCTTTAACTAGTCTTCTGCCCGTGCAACGCTACAGCGATATTTTATATACAAACTATATACAAATCAAAGAACTATACAGTATATGTTTTAGGAAGCAATGATAATAAGATAATTTAAATTCACACAAAAAAGAAATAATAGAGAATCATTATTGTCAATAAATTATATAGCATGTTGGACATTTGGAATCCATCCTAGTAATATATCATTTGGAATCCTGCATGTGAAATACATCATGTTTCTGTTTTGTTTTTTTTTTAAGTTGGGAAGAGAACATGTTTCTGAAATTGCTCATCTGCCCGAATGGCTCGATCTGGAAAAAAGAAAAGCAAGGTCCTCACAGCCCAGCATGTTTATAGTATGAACAGTTTCAATCAAATACACTCCATCAATTTTTCTACCCTGCTGCATCAACGAAGACATGGCAGAAGAGGAGGAACTGAAGGAGCCACTCACTTAGGCTAGGAGTTCAGATGGTGAATTCCCAGGACGATGGTGGTCCAGAGCCGTGTGCGGTTGGGGGATCAGCGGCGACGTAGTCGTGGATGACGGGCGGTGACTCGGTGAAGGCGGCGATGGAGGATCGGCGGGCGGCGTGGTCGTGGTCGTGGTCGTGGTCGTGGTCGACGGGGATCGGCAACGGAAGACGGGCGGCAACTCTTGGAGGCGCGACGGAGATCGGCGGCTGCGCGGAGGACGGGGATCGCGAGGAGCTAGGGTTTGCGAGAGAGAGAGAGAGGGGGGATCGGAGCCGGGACTGGGCGGCGGATTGGATCGACGGGAGAGAGGCGGCGGTGGGAGGGCAGACTGGGGCGGCGACGGGAGTCGATAGCGGCGATGCGATGCGGGAGAGGAAGCAGCGGATCTCGGAGGGAGGCACGGGAGAGAGAGAGAGGCGCGGATGCGGTGCGGGAGAGAGGGAGTTGCGGAAGGGAGAGGAGCGGATGCCGTCCGATGCGGGAGAGAGCGCGATCAAAGGGAGGTGCGGAGCCATCCGATCTAAGGTTGCGTTCCGAACAGTCTTCCCTACACGGGCAGGATATGCGCACGGAAAACGGAACGGTTCTCTAGTGTGTGATTAATTATTTGCTAATTTTTTAAAAAATGGATCAATATGATTTTTTTAAGTTACTTTCGTATAGAAACTTTTTTAAAAAAATATACCGTTTAGCAGTTTGAAAAGCGTGGGCGCGGAAGACGATGGGGTAACGCCGAACACAGCTGTATCCACAAATGAATTTGGATCGTTGGATGTGTCACACGATAAACAAATAAAACTATTTGTTGAATTATAAGGTAGGTAGATTAAACGGATGGGCAATATGCTAGTTAATGCAAATGGCACAAGACAAGTTATGTTGTGTGTCAAGGACAATAATACTTTTCTTTTCTTCGATACTTCGATCCAGACTTCAACAGTTTGTCACCATAAATTTACAGAAAGTTGATTTTGATATAAAAAAGACTACTGACAAGTTTTACAGCCATGCATAACTCATACAGAGTAGAAGGCAGCATTAGAAGGTAAACCATTTCCAGTAGATACAAGAACGCCCAGATATTGAGCATAATCCACTCCAAATTTGATAATCTAAACTTGCAAACTATACTTCAACCTAACCACATTTATCGGCTACATATGATCGAGCAGTGCCATTGTTTTTTTACCCTGAGGTGTCAAATGTCATAAAGCGTTATCTCCTACTCGGCATTAAGCCTGCTAATGGACTGGGTTAAATGGACTGGGTTCTAGTTTGGATTATCTTTGGTTGGGTGAAAATGGGTTGCTACTTCAAATGGATTGGATCGGTTTGGGTGACACAGAGAAGTGGATTGGTGCGCCCAGGATTTGATTCGGTGATTTCCGGTTGAAAATGGATTTAACCCATGGATGTATAGATGGCCAAAAGGCCCGCCTGGTACGGCCCGGCCCAGGCACGGCCCACCAGCCATCGGGCTGGCACGGCTCAACAAAGTGCCGGGCCATGCCGGCCCATGGGCTGCTCCTCTCGCCTAGGTCGGGCCGGCCCGAAGGCACGAGTGGCCCATCGTGCCTTTTTTTTAAATAAGTCTATTTTACTTCCCTCCTCTTTGGGTCGTGACATATATATATATATATATATATATATATATATATATATATAGCTACATTAAGTCTATTTTCCCTCCCTCCTCTTTGGGCTGACATATATATAGCTAAAATAAGTCTATTTTACGTCTCTATTCTTTCGACCGTGGCATATAATATGTCTATTTTTACTCCCTATTGTTTATGTGTCGGGCTTGGCCTGTGGCCCATCATGCCTTGCCGGCCCGGTCCAACATGCCGGTGGAGGGGCCCAGGCACGGCCCCAACCCCCATCGGGTCGTGCCGTGCTTGGGCCGGGCCAAAATGTCGTGCCGTGGGCCGGGCCATCGGGCCTCGGGCCTCGGGCCTTTTGGCCATCTATACATGGATAGCAAGTGGATTCCTTTAATGGACTGAGTCTGACTACTTTCTGTCGTCCTCTGCCGCACCGCACATGACCTGGACTTGGCGGCTGCTGCTGGCGGAGAGGCCGCGCATGGCGCCACCTCATCCGTGGGAGCCGAGGGCCGAGGCAGCCGGTACGTGTGCAGTTGCATCTCTTCAAACTCCTCCCGCTTTGCCGCCTAGAGCTAGCCACTCTTGAGCCAACTGGGCTTCTCGCTGTTGTCCCACTGCTCCCACATGGGGACAGGGCCTCCTTGCCGTGGCCGGTGATGGCGCGCTGAGCCTGGACAACATCTACTATGGCGGGGACGGCGCCGCTGGGCATGTCCACCACATCTAACTGCAGGTGTGCGACATGTACGAGGGACCAGCTGCGCTGTCGGCCCGTCGCTCGCCGCCGTCGTCGAGGAGATGGTCGTGGCCGCTGCTGTTGTGGTGAGCTGGCTGGCCTCACGCTGCGCCTGCACCGACGTGACAGCAGCTGAGAACGGCGCCGGTGTCCTGTCCTCCGCCGCCGCCACGACGCCACAGCTACAGCCATGCAGCACATACTTTGTCCGGCTGCGTCGCCGCCAGCAAGGACGGCATGGCTAATGAAGGATCGAAGTGGATTTAAAGTGGGTTTAAATGGTTTGGAAGGTGGATTGACACCATAAAAAGAGGAATGGGTTGGTTCGGTTTGGACTGACGAGGAAAATGGATTGGTCTGGTTTGGATTTTATGGGATGGATAGTGGATTGGGATGGTTTGGATAGAATTGTTAGCTGTTGTGGATTGGATTCGATATGGGGTGGATCTTGCCCTACATTGGACTCTAGACCCTAGGCCATCACTCTGTTTATTGACCTTATGAACGAAACCTCCCCATGTTGCCAACCAAAAATTGGATCAAGCTACAGCAACATCAGAACAGAGTAAACTGCAAGAGAAGAATTACCACACGAGCTAACAGCAACGGAGCAACCCCATCCCCATGCCAAAATCCTTGTACATGCCCTTTCCCAAGACGAAAAAGAAAAATAAACCGTGCTGATGTGAAAACATCTGCACAACCCGGATTAGGATCCTCTGACGTGAAGTCAGAGGGACGTGGTGACTGACATGTGGGTCCCACCGCTCGTGGACCCACATGTCAGTGACCACGTCATGGGGCAGTTCACGTAAGAGGAACGGCTTCCGCACAACCCATATCCGCAGCACAGCAGAGCCGAGCAAGCCGGATTAGCCGTCCGTTCCAAGGATACACTGGGCATTTGATCGCATGGCTGGTTTACGAGATCCAGTGACATGCCGGCGGCGTCTACAGCAACCCCGCATACACACACGGGGATCAAATCATGGGAAGCGCAAGAGATATTGTGAACTGGGGGGAGGAGCGTCGGGAGAAGGGGGAACCAATCACCACGGAGGTCGGGAGAAGGGGGGAACCAATCACCGCACACACGCACCGTTTAGCAGCTTAATTGAGAAGCGTGCGCACCAGAAACAACAGAGTGGAGCCATGGAGGTTGGGAACCGGCCACCACAGACGAACTTAGCCTATGTGTGGTTAATGCTATTTCTATTTTCTCTCGTTAAGCTATGTCACTTCAATTGTTTCTAGCTCCTAGATGATTGATCTATGGTCCAAATTACTTCCTCCCTCCCTCCTATTCTTCTCTTATGAATTCATATCACTTTGATTTTATCTTTAGATAATTAATCTATGTTACCTTTCTTCTTTTCCTTCTCTCAATGAGTAATATCACATTAGTTTTGCATTCGAATGATCAATCTATATATGATTTAAATGTTATAAGCCACATTATCTTAGTTGTTTATAGATTTTTCTCAATAGTTAACAAATATGAAAATTATATAAAGTATATAAAATTATATCGTCTAGCTATCTTACATATTATTTTTATTATTATGTAACCCATGAGGTTTTAGCTACTTTTAATACTGAAGGAGTGCAAATCATCATAAGTTCATAACCACGCCACATGGACACTTGACAAGTTGGGTGGTTTAATTTAGGGCACGTTCTAATTAGCACATTGGGATTATAGCTAGGATTGTTGTACCACGCTTCCAAAGGTAAAGGCAAATTTTGCTACAGAACACCTAAATTTTGTGTAATTTGCTGATAGATATCGAAAAAACATATCACGGCTGAAAGACATATTAAAAAACTGGTAATTTGCTAGATGATACTTTCGGCTTAATTGGATTGATAAATTCTTAATAAAGACGAGAATGTCCCTAACACCACATGCTTCAAACATGATGTTAGAGTAAAATTTTAGAAAGTATGCAACTCTAAATTTGCCATCTCCCCAAGTATATCACTAGCATACATTATATTTCACCTTCGCTCCAGTCTCAGCCCAAAGGCTTTTGACACTAGGGGCATTCTTGTCTTTTTGAAAAAAAATTCCCTCCAATTGAGCCAAAAGTGTCCTCCAGCAAATTATCAGTTTTTTAGAGTGTCTTTCAGCCATGACACGTTTTTACAATGTCTACCAGTAAATTACACAATTTTTGAGTGTCCCGTAGCAAAATTTGCCGGTAAACCAAGCAAATCTCTCTGCATCAGCATTACCTACGTAACTTTTTCTAAGCTATTTTCAACTTTATAATGTATAAGTCATCTTATAAGTAATTTTGGCTAATCTATCATTTTAGCATGTGTTTGGTTGGGAGCATATCCCGGGATGCGATGGGATCATCCCATTTTTGCATATGTATGGTTGAGAAACTAGGAGGGATAGGATGGTTCCAAAAGAGAATATTCCTTCAATATTCGGGATAGCCTCATCCGAAAAAAAGTGGCGGACGAAGCCATCCCACCTCCGCACCCATGACTCGCGCCTCATGTGCGGTAACCCTTTCACCGCATCTCAATTTTCCCCTTCGTTCTTTTCTCCTCACGAGTCTGTTCCTAGGGTTAGCAGCGGGAGCAGTGCGCGAGGCGGCTGCGCGAGCGGGGGTGAGCCGGCGAGACAAGGCGGCGGGTGTAACGCCCCGATTTTCGTTCGGGAATAAAAATCAATTAATAATACATTTTCTAGAAATTAAATAAAAGTTAAATCAATTTAATCAAGTGAAATAATGGGAGAATTTGAAATTTTCCTTTAAAAATCATTGGCCGGGAATATTTTGTAATATTCTTTGTGCCCTAATGTACTCTCCGGAATTTTCCGTGAATTTTCGGAGCTCGAGAAATAGTTTTAATAGCACAAAGATCATTGCATCAATTAAAATAAAAAGAAAAAAAATAAAATCCTCCCTGCTCTCTTTGGGCCCCTTTCGGCCCAATTCCCCCCCCCCTCTCTCCCTCTCGGGCCGGCCTTCTCCCTCGGCCCGCTCGGCTCTCTCTCTCTCCCTCAAGTCTGTTTTGCCTCCCCAGCCGGCCTCTCCCTCCCTCTCTCTCCGACAGATGGGACCCGTGGACCCCACCTGTCATCCCCAACCTCAGGCCGGCAGCTGCCGTTGCTGCCATGGCCGCCCGAGCCGCCCCACGACGCGGCCGTTTCCGCCCACCTCCTCCACCCCGCGCGCGCGCGCTCGTCCGTGGGACCTCGCCGCCCACGTCCGCGCCGTTTCCCCCCACCTCTCCCCTCCAAAACCGCCACCCACACCCCACGGTGCCGCCCACGCCACCGGCGGTTGCCGCCCCGACTCCGCCTCTCCCGGGCTCGATCCCGCCTCCCCTCCCCTATAAAAACAATCCCCCGGCCATCCTCTCCCTTTTCCCCAACTTTCCCGCACTCCCCGCGCTCTCTCCCGCTCTCCCCACACGAGCCCAAGCGCCGCCGATCGCCGGCGACCCTCCAGCCGGCCGCTGCCGCCACTGTCGACGTCCCCGCGCCGCGCCGCTTGCACCACCGGCTTCGCCGTGCCTTGCCGCACCTCGGCCCCACTCCGTTTTCCCATTTCATCGCCGGAACCACCTCCCCACCGCGCTCCCTCTCTCCACCACTCACCGACGAGCTCCGGCCGCCGCTCCTCGCCGCTCCAGCCACTGCCAAGCCGCGCCCTACCACCGTCGGCTTCGCTGCATCGCGTGGTACCCCGGCCGCTCTTCCACCTTCGTTGGAGACCGCCGAATCACCGCCGTCGTCTTCGCCCCGTGGAGTGCTGCCGCCTCCCTCTGCTCGAGCCCCATCAGCCGCCTCCTTCGCCGCCATGCCCCTCGGTGAGCTCCGCCGCCTCCCTTTTCGCCTCCTCCGCTCGTTTTCGCCGCTCCCCGGCCGCCCCCTCGCTCGTCGGGCCGACGCCGCCATCACCGTTGTCGTCGTCGTCCTTCCCGCGTCGGTGAGCATCTCCCTCCTCCTCCCCTCCCTTTCTTTTTCTCTCTTTGCCCGCCGGCCGCCGCATGCGTGTCGCCGTCGCGCCGCGCCGCGCCGCCGCCGGTGTCGCCGCCGGTGGCCGTCCGGCCGCGCGCCGCCGTCTGGTCGGGTTGGTCGGCGAGCCAACCCACCCCTCCGCCTTGCACCTCTACCGTGGACTCGGTCCACGGTGGGCTAGATCCTTTTGCCCGCTGACGCGTGGGGCCCGCTCATTTGGTGGACCCGGTCCAAGCCCGCACCTCCTTGACCCGCTAACGTGTTGGGCCCACCTGTCGGCGTCGGCGCCCCTTGCTGACGTCAGCGAATGCCATTTCCTTTGAGAAAATATTTAATAATTGCGCAATAAATCGAGTTTAATTCTAGAAATTCATTTAAATGGCCCAAAACTTCTAAAATTCATGTCTAATTCATTCGAACTACGAATTGAGCCATTCAACTTGCAAAATTCATCTAAAATTGAGCTCTACATGTTTGTTAAGTTTTTATGTACTGTTTCCTTGGTTTTTATTAGAGTTTTTCCTCGTTTTGCGTGCCAGCGTGTAGTTTCCGTCGTTTCGGAAGTCTGCGGTCGCAAGGAAAAGAGTTCGGAAGATCAAAGTGAAGAAGCAAGGCAAGTCACACATTCCCCTTGAGCATTTTGATCCTAATTTACAAATATTTTACTGTTTGCAAACAAATATGCATGTTTTGCTAATTACATGGGGTCAGGGTTTTACCTATCTGCTCGCTTGTGCCATGTTTACTTGATATCTGTTCTTTGTCAACCTTGGGTAATAAATCGACTAGCTCATGTTACTTATGTGACCTAGCTAGAACTATATGCTTAGCCATGCTTAATTACTACTAGCTCAGTTGATGGGATAATTACAGTATTAGACCTTTTTAGTATCAGAATGAGCTATGTGCTCAAGACATCTGGCCATGCTTCATGGTCATAATTATCCAACTAAAATGCGACTGAATGGTGGGCTGTGGGTGCATGGTTTTGCTAGTCGCACCCATGGCAGTTAAGGACCGGTTCGCGGGATGCCCTGGAAGAACTTATCGTACTTACCACAAGCCAGCGTGGGCAACGGCTGGACTTGTAGTGTATCTTTCCTCTAGTCGACGCATCCAGGCAAGGGTGGGCGTGATGGAGCGGGGCGGGCCCTGCGACGGCCTCTGTCGCTTCCGGATTCACCTAGGCACGAGAGGGGACTGCCCGTTGCCCGCTGGGAACGGGGGTGAAACCTGAGGTGTGGTGTGCTTGGCTAGAGGGGGTTATGCGAAGGGTCCTGTCACGGCCTCTTTCCGGTATGTCGTGGTGGCATGTCGGCGCACGGAAACGTGTCGTGGGGCTGTGTCTTGTGGGTACAGTTGTACACCTCTGATCAGAGTAAAACTATTCGAATAGCCGTGCCCGCGGTTATGGGCGGTCGACCAGATTCACCGTGATTAGTCCCATCTTAATAAATCGACCCAATGCACTGTAGTTCAGGTGGGTTGGTTGGGCCTGTTCAACGTGGTGTAGCGTTGATCAGTGGAGATTCAATATTACTTTAATTACTCAACCGTTTACGGTTTTCTCAATAAAATGTTTTACAACCGCCTTTATGCAAATAGCCACAAACCCCTCCTTGTATCCCCTTTGCACGTCTGCATCGTTGGTGTGGCTTGCTGAGTACGGTGGTTGTACTCAGTCTTGCTATTATTCCCCCTTTTCAGAAGTGTAGTGCTTCTGAGCTGAAGACGAAGTTAGAGGACCAAGGCTCAGACCCCAGTTGAGTTTTGCCTGTGGAGTGGAGCTGAAGCCCCGCTAGGATCGTCTTTTCCGCTGCCGCCGCTTTTGTTTCGGTGTGAGGACTAAGTGCCTCTCCTGTAAGTATTTTACGCTTTATTTACGTTTGGAACTGTATATTACTTGTCGTTTTGTGTACCCTGGCTGGTCCTGGACAGGGATTTAATACGCAAAATAGTCTGGAAATTTGGGTTAAATTTCTGGGCGTGACAGCGGGCAAGCAGGGGCGAGGTAGCAGCGCGAGCAGGGCGCGAGACGGCGTGCGAGCAGGAAGATGGTGGTGCCTCCTCTCTTGCCGGTCTCTTCTCACTCTTATATCCTTTGTTCGTAGCCAACAACCACAGATCTTGCCGCTGCTATACTAAAGGTCGGTGAGCCGGACAATAAGCCACCAGAAGGTTTACTTGACACATTGAAAATCCTTCTCGGTTTTCAGGAGATCCACAAATCTTTTTACTATGCTCATTTGGTTTCCAATCTTCACATTGCTAGAACTTTCGATGGACTTCCATTTGAAAACAAGCTGCATTGGGTTGCTATGTTCATTAGTGAGAAGTCCCCTAGATCAATGTAGGGTTATTGGAAGAGTTGAATAGTTCTTTTGGTATTATGTGTTGTTGGTTGACCTATGTTGTTATTATGTAAGGCTTAAACTGCCAAAATGAGAACTTACTATTAGGTGCAAGACTTAAATTTGCTATTTATGCGTAAGACCTTAAACTGCTATAATGTGTAAGACTTTAATTTGCTATTATGTTTAAGACTTGAAGTTACTATGTGTGGCTTGAATTTTCTATGTACAGATTGATACAAGAATTGGTGTATGCTAATTATTTATGATTTTTTTGAATGGACTATGTGATATGAATTGCATTTTATTTCCAAATATAGTGATATGAACAGTATTCTATATTCCAATATAAAATATAGTGTGATACTTATGTCTAAATGTTATTTTTGCAATGTGTATACTCTGATGGGTAACATCACCAAACTAATGGAGTAGGTAACTCTATACAGGAATCCCACCTTCATCCCTCCATCCAAACAAGGGTTAGGATCATTCCATTCCAACCCATAATATCCCTCAAACCAAACAAAAAAACATGGTTCGTTCTATCCCTTGAACCAAACGAAAAATAGGATCATCCCATCCCATTCCAAAAACAGAGATGGAACTAATCCATCCCACCTCGTGCCCAAACTAAACAGGATCATTACTTTGAGCTTTGAGGACGGTTTAAATAGATATATGGGATTATTTCCCCTCATTTCTCTTCAACTTGCTTGAAGCATCCATGGTGGCATGGCTACATTGCCATGAGCATAAGCACAGATCAAGAAGCGTATTACTCCTATATATCCAATCAGCCGATATAAAGTGCAAGTGCAACATCAACACCCAAAAAGAGGTTAATTAAACTAATCCCCTATGTCAAAATCGAAACATGTCATAATTGTAATTTGTAAATAGTAATTTGGTTGCATTGTCACATCCAATGCTCACGACCACCCATTTGCCACCACAACCTTGCTCACCCAGTCACTATCTGCTTAATTTGTTATTAGGTAAATGCAAATCATATATAATGTGTCTGCATCAGGATTAGATTGTCACTGCTTGTAAGCCTGTTATTAGTTGGCCTGCAGCTGAGGGCAGATCTCTGACGAAACTGAAATTCCCTTCCACACCGGTCATCACACAGCAATTTTAAACAAAAAGTTCAGTATGAAATGGAGCAGGATATTAAGGTCTGTAATGGCTAACATTTCAGATTTAACTGCACAAACATACAGTAGGACAGTCTAAGTAATTAAGCATTAGCATTATGTTCTATAAGGTCAGTACAAATCACTACTTTGCGAACACTCCTCTGAACTCTGAATGTTTACAATACAAAACTAAGCACACATTTCTACAGAATTAAGTAACACATATATATACAACATATATCATGATTATATAGAAGCAATAGAGCTACTTGATCAACCATATGCAAAGAAGAAGATGATGTGAAATTGATTGATCAATTAAGTAGAAAACAAGTAATAATCATAATTAGCTAGCTAGAGATGATATAATTGAGCAAGGCTAGCTAGCTTTGGTTAGAACTTTAGAAGGAGAAGAAGGAGCGCTTGGATGGCACCCTGCCGGCGGCCTTGCAGAAGTTGGCACGGTCGAGCACCTCTGCCGTCTTCCTCCCGCGCCGCGCCTCCGCCGACGCCCGCCGCTCCTCCGCCTTCCGCCGCGCCGCCGCCGCCTCGTTGCGAGCCTTCTCCGTCGCCTTCGCCCGCTCCTCCTCCAGCTTCCTCTGTCAATGGATTGATCGATGTTATAGCTGATGATTTCTGCATGATCGAGTTCTTGGTCGGATCAATGGCGAATTAGTTGGTTTTTTTTACCTCGATCTTGGCGAGCCAGGCGGTGGCCTTGTCGACTTGCTGGCTCTCCCAGCCATTGATGACGACCTCCTCGCGCTTGAACTTGTTGTTGATCTTGGCCACCTCCTCCGCCTGCCACGCCGCCACCTTCGCCTCCACCTCCTCCTTCTTCACCTGCTCCACCGGCGCCGGCGGGCCGCTGCCCGCCGCCGCCGGCACGATGGCGAGCGCGTTCGCCTCGGCCGCCGGCTCGTTCTCGCCGATGCGCGCCAGCTGCAGCAGGTTCAGGTCGGCGGCGGCGGGGGCGTCGCCGGGAACGTCGGGGCTGGGCGCGGACGACGACCCGGCCGCCACCATGGCGGTGAACTCGCGGCTCATGGTGGCGAACAGCTCGACGTCGCCGCCGCCGCCCGCGCCGGAGGACGACAGCGAGCGGTGGCTCGCGGCGTCCCACGACGGCTGCCTGAGCGGCGGCGGCGGTAGATGCGGAGGCGACGGCTCCGGGTGGATGTCCCGGAACGCCTCCACCTCCACGTCGTCGGCGACATCGTCCGGCTCGGCGCGGGGAGCCGACGGCGCCGGGCGGTGCTCGAGCTGGTCCGAACCCAGCATAGCTACTGGCTGATCAGTATCGATCGGATCAGAGGGCGGTGGTGGCCATGGATGGATGCGGGGTTCTTGGAGGTGGAGGAGAAGAGTGGAAGCAGAGGAGGGGAAGGGGATTGGGTGGGAGGAGGTGGGAAAAGGAGGCGCGTGCACGGCTCGTGATCGGCATGCAGGGGGACACGTCGCTCTCGGATTAACATGAGGTTTTACCGTTTTCCCTCCGTCACCAAATAGGTTAATTTAGTCTCGTAGTACTAAATTAACTTAACTATTAATTTTCATCAGTAGCAATAGTGTACCGATGGTAGATGAGTCATGGCTTCTTCAACAGTGTACTTCGTTTGGCTTATTAGGCTGTTTGAATTTAATGAAGGTAAAGATGTTGTTAGCGTACATAAAACGAGAAAATTATTAACGTGTGATTAATTGAATTTTAATTATTATAAATTTTCCTATTTATTTGATATTTTAAAGCAAATTCTATATAAAAAGTTTTTACACGAAACCCTCCATTTAACAGTTTAAAAAGCGTGGTAACGGAAAACGAGAAAAAAAATATGTATCTTAATGAAAAAAAAACCATTTCCAAAAAAAATACTGACTAGATACATAACTAAAATATCTATATTTTAAAATAGAGGATGCACTAGGGGACTCGATCTAGTTTTAAATGCAAGCCCATGAAATATCTTTTTTTTATATTGAGAATACACTATAAAAGTCACATTGGTTGCCCAAATAATCCAAAATTTAAAATTTCAAACTTAATTTAGAATTTGATTTTCAGATAATTTTAACGTATTTTTTTATAATGGCTTTTAAGTCACTAAGAACACATACATAAAAATTATATCTATAAATTAATTTTATTCCCTAATAAGCCATTTTATCTTATTAGAAAATATGGGCAATCGATGAGGAGCTAAATTTGTATCCTTTAAGTGGCGGGCAATTACTTTACTGATATCAATCGTTGGATATAATTTTAGAAACTAGTTCGCTCTTTTCCTGTAACAAGACAACCATATATATGTAGACGATTCTCACTGTAACAAGACACAAGACAATCATATGGAGACGCTTTATATATGCAATAGAGACATTCTAGCTTGTCTCCACAGGATTGTAAAGATGTACTCCCTCCGTTTCGAAATGTTTGACACCGTTGACTTTTTAGCATATGTTTGACCGTTCGTCTTATTCAAAAACTTTTGTGAAATATGTAAAATTATATGCCTACATAAAAATATATTTAACAATGAATCAAATGATAGAAAAAGAATTAACAATTACTTAAATTTTTTAAATAAGACGAACGGTCAAACATTTGCTAAAAAGTCAACGGTGTCAAATATTTCGAAACGGAGGGAGTATTTGGAAAGTGCCATAGGAACGTCTGTGTTACAAAGAGAAGAGATAGAAATGAGATGAACTCATTGGTCCTCTTCTCTGATAATATGCCAAGTGACTTTACCAGATGATGCCAAGCGACTGGCCTAAAGACTTGGGTAAAAAGGTGTGGTTGTGTGAGGTGGGAAAAGAAAAATAGTTCACCAATGTAGGGGTTTAGATGAAGATCGATCATGGCATCAGATGCCTACCGACAAGAGGACATAATTAATTTGGTTACATGAACAATTGGAGAAACATAAGATAAAGATGAAAGAGTGTAACTTGCTAGATGTAACGACAAATCTAAAGGGCAGCAACAAAGACGGACGACAAAGGATTATGATTTTTTTAAGTTGCTAGAAGATATTGAATTCGAGAGAATGAAAATCTAGAAACATAGGACATGAGAGATGATTCATGCCAATTGCAATGTGTACTTATTGAGTGATATCATTATTGTTTTTCATGATATAATTCAATGATATCCTAAAATAATCGAATGAACCGGCTAGAAATTTAACCCATGATGATGAACCTCTCAACTAGTAGCTATACTCTACTATCTACTGTTCATATTATGTTGATTGCAATCCTCAACAAAGACAAAAAAGCAACCCCCAGAAATATAATACTAATATAATACAATTACCAAAAAGCCATGTCCAATTAATTATTTGCACTGGTTTAATTAGTGGAGAAAATGATAGATCACCGGGGTCCCTTTCATGTGGATGAGTTGGAATGGAACAGGCATGGTTACAAGGTGAGGCATCACCCTCACATTGACATGGACCGTCTACCTCTAAGCTTGTGACAGCCCAGGGCCAATACACACTGATTACCTGTCTCCTTGCTGTGCTTTTCTCCAGGGCCGTCGGATCAGGAAAGTACGTCCTAAATTAATTTGGATTTCTTCTTTAAAATTTCTACACTCTCACATGTGGAATACCTTTCTGAACTCATCGCTACCTTGTACATATACTTTCTCTATTTCACATTATAAAATATTTTAAGTTTTGAATAGATTTATACATAGATCCGTTTACGTGCTTTATATATGTTTAAATTCATATAAATGTTAATGAATCTAGATGAAAGATTGGACAGATATAGACATATTATAATATGAAATGAAGAGAGCATATATCTAGAATTATGATATGCTGATCTTACCCTAGGAGCAATGGAGAAGAATAATATAAAAGAAACAGTATACCTCTGTAATTAAGCATGGTGATCTTGATTAATTAAGTTCCAAAGTAATCACTCCTACTAATGAGTACTGTATATAAGAAGCTGGAGTTCGACCTATGTGTTGTCCAAAAACATTGATGGTTTAATTTTCTCTCAGTTACTCCAGACAATGCCAGGGCATGGAATCTGCTGAAGAACAAGTTCAGTCACATGAGGTGGTTAGCAAACCAACCTTCCTCTGACTAATTTAATAGCATGTTGCATTGTTTGGTTGAGATTTTTTTTCCCTTCTCTTTGATATGAGAACAAAATAACAAGAAGCAAGTCAATTATATGCACATGAGTGATAGATCAGGTGCAGCCGGTGAGCTGTACCCTACTGTTCATATTGCAATATCAATTACTAATTAGTTATTTGCACTTGGAAGTTGCCACACTGTTCAGGCATGGCCATCAATTGGCTAACTAGCTAGGCATGCCATTTCAGAGGCATTAGTCTATTTCTAGGTTGTATTAAGAATGGCTTATTCCATAAAGATTAGGGTTTTTTAATTTATTCAAAAAGTAATGGAGGAGATACTAAAACCGACACATCTTTGACCACTAAATGCAAAACTCACTATCTCAACACTAGTAGGCGACATTATAGTTGAGCCTTGAGATAAAATTTTCTAATTAAGATGTTTTAAGAGAGCACTTGTATTATATTTTTGTATTATATGTTTTAAGCTGGAGTATGTGGTTTGTACTCTTGTATCTGCATCTGTATAGTATTATACGACTACATGTATTTACCTCTTCTAGTAATATTAAAAGCATATTTAAACTTCTTAGGTGCGTTTGATTTAGATTATTGAGCAAACTATCGACTTGATTATATAAATAAATTAAATATTTTAAGAGATAAACTTAATAAATAGATTAAAATAAGTGGTCTTGAGAACACACATTTTTCAAGGTGTGGATGAAATAATTTATCTTAATAATTTAACTGATAATCTCAAAATAAATTGTGTATAAAATCCAGACGATCTTCATAATTTCATTGAAGAGGCAACGTACTTTAGCCCTGTTTAGGTTCCACCTTAAAATTTTTCACCCTGTCACATCGAACGATTAAACACCTGCATGGAGTATTAAATATAAGCTAAAAAATAACTAACTGCACAGATTGCGACTAATTTGCGAAACGAATCTTTTAAGCCTAATTGCTTCATGGTTTAACAATGTGGTGCTACAATAAACATTTGGTAACGACGAATTAATTAGGCTTAATAAATTTATCTCTTGGTTTACTGACGGATTATATAATTAGTTTTTCTATTATTGTCTGAACACCCCATACGATATCCTTTACAATACTCGATGTGACACGCTAAAACTTTACAACCCTAAATCTAAACACCCTTTAAAAATCGGAACGTGAACGTAAAAGAGACCTCAAATGATAAGATGAAATCGTGAAACCTAAGATTAATAACCGGTTTTCCATTTCTCCCAATGTCGCTGCTGTCCGGACAGGCAGTGAGACAGGCACATCCCTTCTACCTCGGCTCTGATTAACTGAAACTGACACAAAGTTTCAGAAGCCCAAGGCAACACGTAACGGTTTCGCCAGAATTACGTAAATGGCCCTGGGTGGAGAGCCCAACAACCGCGCGGCCGGGCTGTCGGTGGCATCGAAGAAAAAAAAAGAAATGAGATCCACACGCGTACACCTAACATGCAAAACGGAAAAAAAATGAAAGAAAAGGAAGCATACGTCACTTACCGGTGGGCCCGGCTCACTGTTGTGTCGGTCGTGGATGTTCTGCTGCTGCTAGCAGGGCTCACAGCTCGCAACAGTTGTTGGGTGTCAGCTCGGTGGCTTCCTCCATTTTCACATGATTTAATTTCTCTCTTGTTTTTTTTCCTGTTGAGAATGAATTTCACGTGGCAAAAGGAATTAAATCATGTATTGTTGAGGATGCATAAGGCGTTGTTTTAACCACTTCGAATAATGAATTGTTAGCGTATACTTCGTCTGTCCCAAAAAAAAATTAATCTAGGAGGGAATGTGACTCCTCCTAAATTGATGTATGTGGACTAGGTTAATTTCTTTGGACGGAGGGAGTATATATGTAATTATTTTCAACTTATTCCATGGTGTGATATTCGTCATAGATAGTTAGAAGACTGAGTTTACATATACATGATATGTTCTATACATTATTTTAATTACCAAACGATATGTACATGTCATGGTGACTACATATATTAGTAACAATTAATGTGATTATAGTTGAACAATATGTGAAGGAGCCATGATGGTAGTACAGTGCATCATATCTCGTTATCTCCCACTAAATATCTGCTAGTGACAACCACTGTACAGGAAACTTGTTTGCTATTCCATTGTTCCACTTTAGTTGGTGTGGCTCAAGCCACAATTAAAGTTGGCATATACACTTAATTAAAAGGCATACGTAATCATTTATAAATTTTATTGGCTTGCCATAACACTTGAACAAGCTTGCTTTGTTACAAATATATCCCTTCTTGAAAAATCTATGGTTATTT